ACACTTTCTTTTCGTATACATTTTGTTAATAAACCATTTTAGTTGACAAATAAATTTTAAGTATGGGTGTTACTTTTCGCCCGCCTTGTATATTTACTTTAATCAATTACTCGCTGTTTTAATAATAAAAAAAAATGAATCTTTATGCTGGATTTCATTGGATGCATAGTTTGCATAAATCACAGACCTCCCTGGGATGAGGAAAGTGTGATATATTTTATATACATTTCTCGTGCGTAAAAATCAATGTGATACGAGGATGCCGTAATGATAGTAGTAGTAGTTGTTAGTATCAGTAGTTTCTTACATTAAAATGTATGTAAATAAAATATTTTGATAAAATAAGGCTCGCCTAAAAGAACGCAAGAAGCGTACATTATGTATTTACTGTAAGAAGACAGAATGCTTTGTTATCAGAGGGAAAATGACAGCCCAATGATGAAGAAATGTTTTAGCTGCTGCAACAACAGACGGCGAAAAGTGTGACCTAAATACAAAGGAGCATAAAAATGGTGAAAGATGACTTTATATAATTAGCAAAATAAAATAAAATAAATAAATGAATGAAATGTCAGGTTCAGATTAGCAGGAAAGAAGGTCTAGAAAATATAACATTCAAAGGAAAAAGAAGAGAAATCATTTTATGAAACTGTGTGATTGAATGACAAAAAGAGATGAAGTAGCAAAAATTTATTAAGAGCAGCAAAAACGGGAAAACAGAGAGAGAGAGAGATAGAGAGAGAGAAATAGGGAGATACAGACAGACACAATCAGACACGTCCTGAAATTATAGGGCTGATAAAAAAATACGAATCCAATATTTCATATTGTTGAAAAAGATTTACATGAAATTATAATCATGCACGGTAATGAATAGCGGCTCTGATTGAGGAATCAGACAACCGAGTTCGAATTCCAGTCGAAACCATTACATTCATTTCCCTGCTTATACACATGGGAAAGGTATAAATCCTCTTCTTCTTCCCCTCCCCCCATCTATGGGTAAATAGAAGGATAGACGGTGTTCTATAGATTTGGGTAGCAACCAGTCAAGGAGAAAGTAACTCTGAATTCAAAACTTCATATAAGCCTAGCGTAGCACATTCTATACAGCTAAAGAAAGGATCGTTCGCATTGGCTCGGTGGTCCCAACTACGGTCTAATAATAATGAGGATGATGATAATCATGAAGTAAAATATTTTGATAAAATAAGGCTAGCCTAAAAGAACGCAAGAAGCGTACATTATGTATTAACTGTAAGAAGAGAGAATGCTTTGTTATCATAGGGAAAAGAACAGCCCAACGATGAAGAAATTAAAATCATCATCCTTCAATGAATGTTATATCCAACTAAAATTATCAACGTTAAGTAAATTTTACGTCCAATTAAATTATAATAGAAAAGTACATTATATTAGTGTTTAATTACACATGTTTTTTTTTTCTGTACATTTTTCACATGTCCCCGTAATTAATTGAGCCTATATTTAACTGCGATTATGCCCAGCGTCTCAAAATACACGGTATGTCTTTCCACAAGGTTCATCCCAGCTGAGTGCAAATATCTCATTATAGTATAGCCTGTTGAATTACTTCTACGGTGACACGGATGTCTGCGCCAGAACCAAAATAAACAGGTTAGCGGAACCATTATTGTGGGCATGGTGTTCAGTCGTTTTGATATCTTACTTGGCAAAGAATATAAAGGGAAGACATCGTTTAGAAACACGTACCCAGAAATAGACCAACGGTAAACATCAACTGCTGAAACACGTCTGGAAATTCTGAAATGAAAGACTGTGATATTCTATCAGAAATAATACTAGACTACTTGCAAACAAGTGCATATATATATATATATATATATATATATATATATATATATATATATATATATATATATATGTGTGTGTGTGTGTGTGTATGCACTCCAATAAACAGCACATTTTTTTAATAAAACATCTTTCGGTCTGCAAACAATTATTTCGTCTTCATGTTTTAACTTGAAACGAAAAAAATTACAGCCTGACGATGAAGAAATGAATCTTCGAAAGTACTTGCTTCATTTAGAAAAATATACACTAGACACATCTGACAACAGTTTTATAAATGAGCATCACATAATTCAATGGATCAACAGTATTTTAATGCATACATTATGTTTCTTCTAGCGAAGTGATTTCGCCATTAACCGCATTAATATTGCTGATTGAATCTATGTATGATTATTTCTTAATATATAAAATATATGCTGCCTAATATTATATGTTATATATATATATATATATATATATATATATATATATATATATATATATATATATATATATATATAAATATATATATTGCTTGGAAAATAAAACATCTCTATAACTGTAGATACATCCATAAAACTATTCATACATGTAGTTAAATGCCAAAAAATTCATCCTTTATGATGGCTAAAAGTATAGCTGAATGCGTTCGGATATATAGGACATTCAGACATTTTGTACATAAATTATATACAGAAAAGAAAAAAAAAAAAGAAAAAAAAAAATAAAAAAAATTAACCACGGTACCTTGTCAACCATTCTTAATGAAACATGTATAAAAGACGGACTGCTTCACAAATATACTACACATTACATGTATATATATATATATATATATATATATATATATATATATATATATATATATATATATATGATTGGTGTATACGGAATAAATTCCAATAACCAACGATTACTATTCTTAAAAGAGTGCTCAATACAGAGTAGAGCGAATATAATTATAGCGATGATGTTGAATGAAGGTTCTACAATCTATATTCAACATCATCACTTGATAAGACTCCAGAGGTGTTGAAACAAAATGGCTATTTTTGTAGTGATTTTATAACATATTTATTTTATAATTTTTAAATAAATAATTATATATATATATATATATATATATATGTGTGTGTGTGTGTGTATATATATATATATATATATATTAAGCTCTTGAAAATATATTGCCACTGAGTCCTGTTGAGAGGCTGATTCTATGAACTACAGTCACCTACGCTAATGCAAAGCTCTTCAGTAAAATAAATTGAAGCACTATGAAGCGTTTGTTTACATTCGTAAATGCAATATGTTAGAATTAGCTGCTTCTCTCTGCCAAGTGATGATAACTTAGTGGTAGAAATTCTGAGGGCTGCCAAATCGGTAGGACTTTTGGTCCTGGCTTGAGGCATTCGGATGTCTAGTTGCAATGAGGAGCTGTGATACTGCGAAACAGTACTCTCTGCGAATGACACACACACATATATATATATATATATATATATATATATATATATATATATATATATATATATATATATATAAAGAAACATTTGGAAAAAACAAACAAAAATCCTTACATGCAATGATGTTGTTTAAAATGAATGAAATGTCGACGTCTGACGTTTCGGTTTAATAAACCTTCTTCAGGACAATATTCATTAAAAAAACAATTCAGTTCAATTTGACAAAGACGATGGACATAAAAACAAGTCTTATCCAAAACAGATAACTGAAAATTTTTAAAATGATCAGCTTTCCGTTTAGCATTTTTCCAAATTTTTCTTCATTCTGTCGGATCTATAGCCATTTACATTTGCATATATATATATATATATATATATATATATATGTATGCGAATGTGTGTGTGTGCGCCCGCGAGTGTGTGTGTGTGTTGGTGTGTGTGTGTGTGTTAAAATAATTTTGTTTTTAAAATATATTGCACATAATTATACGTTGGTTGAATTCTATGTGTCATATCCCTTTAGATCGTTGACGAGCATGGCTCTCTACAATTTCCTGTTCTTTGTACTTCTTAGTAAATTTTGTCTTTTTACTAAATCTCTTAATCCCTGCTCTACCAACCCTTTCCATAAACACGATAACGAACTTAGAACTGCTTTCCTGTACCTCATGCCATTAATATGCCTTGTGACCATCAAATTTCCTTATCGCCTTTTAAACATTATGTGTCCAATAAATTTCAACTGATGCGACGCATAATTGTTCTTTTATGATTCCATTTTCATAAAAGAATTTCAGTCTTGATCTCACGATCAGTCTCTGGTATTCTCAGTAACCTTCTGTATAACTACATTTCATTGACGTACAGAGTTCTAGCGCATTAAATCTAGCTTTTCAAGAATTAAAAATTAATAAACAACTGACGCATTTGTTTTAACCCCTTCTCTGCCACTTATTCTGGGAAAAATGTTTCATTGTTAGGTGAACTTATTTATATGTTATTTATATAACAAACAAAGAAACTGAGGCACCTTGGATTACCTGAAAGGTGATTAACACCTCTACCAGATATATAAGTTGACAATTAAACTCGTTTCAAGCTCAGAAGGGAATAAAAAGAATAAAGATCGACGTATAAATACGTCTGTAACTGATTTTCTAACATTGTTTTTGACACGTCAATGTTTGAAAAAAAATCTTTAGTTAAAAAACGTATATACGCCGTAGAAAGTCTTAAAATTCGCTGCTTGATAGATATTTCATTTTTTTGTGACAAACCTGATCCGAGTCGAAAGCTAGGGCCCAACAATTAATGTTAGCTATCTTATACATCTACAATTGCCATATTTGTGAAGCGTTATTCACATACTAGAAAATATCAATAAATATAACATACATTAAAAAAATAATGTGACCTAACAAATATTGATATAGCTTCTTCGGAAATGTCTATAGATCTATAGGATTCAGTAGATATTTGTATTCGTATTAGCCTTTACCTATCTTTACAGATTTTTGTTAATGAAATAAAATGAATGATGCCAATAGCGAAGATAAATTTCATTAGTTTTTACTTAATAAACGGAATTATTTTTTTTTGCCTTACCTGCGAGAATTTGAAAATTATTAACATCTGACATTGTCGAAGTCGAACCGGGGTTATTACATGGTGCGCCAGAAAAAGGTAGAAAGACAAAAAGGCAGAAAAACACAAAGAGAAAAATCAAGAAATGTGAAAGAGAAAAAGCAGAAAGACAAAAAGGCAAAAGTGAAAAAGAAAAAAATATACAAAGAAAGAAAGAGAAAAAAGAGAATATGACAAAACACAGAAAGACAAAGAGGCAGAAAGAGGAAAAAAACAAAAAGACAAAGAGCAAAAAAACAGACAGAGAAAAATACAAAACGAAGCAGAGAAAGCGAAAAAGACAACAGACAGAAAGAGAAATTGACAAATGGAAAGGGAGGAAAAAATAGAAAGACAAATAATTTGAAAGACAAAAACAACAAAAAAAAAAACAGAAATACAAAAAGACTCAAAAACAGAAAAAGAAAAAGAGGGAAAGTGAAAATGAAAAAAAGATTGATAGACAAAAGACAAAAAAAGGAAAAAATGAAAGAAACAGAGAGAGAAAGACAGAAATACATAACGAGAATACAGAAAGAGAAATGGACAAAAAAGGCAAAAAGATAAAAAAGCAGAAAACCACACAGAGAAAAAAGTGAAAGAGAAAAAGAGAGAAAGAGAAAAAGGCAAAAGTACACAAAGAAAGAGAGAGAGAGAGAAAAAGAGAGAAAATGACAAAATACATAAAGACAAAAAGGAGGGAAGAGAAAATGACAAAAAAAAGACAGAAAGAGAAAAGGACAAAAATATTGAAAGACAAAAAGAAAAAAGAGAAAAACACAGAAAGAGAAAAAAATCAAAAAGAAGCAGAGAAAGAGAAAAATCAAAAGACAGAATGAAAAAAAATGACAAATGGAAAGTGTGGAAAAAACCGAAAGACAGAAGAAACAGATATACAAAAAGACTCAAAAACAGAAAGAGAAAAAGAAAGTGAAAACGGCAAAACACTGAAAGACAAAAAACAAAAAATGAAAGAAACAGAGAGAGAAATACATTAACACAGAAAGAATAAAATACAGAAAGAAAAACAGGCAAAAAAGTCAAAATCAAAAAAAGACAGAAAAAAGAGAAACAAAAGGACAAAAAACAAAATCATAGAAAGTGAAAAAGACAGACAGAAAATAAGGCAAAAACACAAAACTAAAAAACAAAAACAGAAAAAACGTAAAGACAGAAAGAGAAAAAAAATAATAAGATAAGGACAGAAAACAATAAGACAAAAAGATAGAAAGACAAAAAAAAAACAAAAAAAAATTGAAGGACAAAATGACAGAAAGAGAAAAATGCAAAAAGATACAAAGAGAGAGAGCGAAAGAGAGAGAAATAAATGATAGAAAGACAAAATGAAAAAAAGCGAAAAAAGACAGAAAGAGAAAAAAGATGGAAAGATAATGGCAAAAAGACAGAAAGACAAAAATACAAAAAGACAGAAAGACAAAGATACAAAAAGACTGAAAAACAGAGAAACTAAAAGATAGAAATGGAAAATGACGGAAAAGGAAAAGGAAAAGGTAGAAAGCCAAAGATAAAAACACAGAAAGCGAAAAGAGACAAAGTGAGAAAGAGAAAAAGACAAAAGACAGGAACAAAAAGACAAGAAGAGAAAAATATAGAGAGAGAAAGGGTAAAAAGAGAGAAAGACAGAAAGGGAAAAGACAAAATGACACAAAGAGAGAAAAAGACATAAATGAAAAGGATAGAAAGAGAAAGACAAAAAGAAAAAGAAAAAAACTCAAAATACAGAAAGAGAATAAAACAGAGAGACAAAAATACAAATTAAAAAGACAGAAAAAACAGACAAAAAAAGACAAAAATGCATAGAACAAAGAATAAAAAACTGACAGACAATAGAACAAAGAATAAAAAACTGACAGACAAAAAGATATAAATATAAAAAGAGAGAAATGTAAAAAGACAGTAGCTGAAAAAAAAAACAAAAACGAGAGTAAGAAAGAAAGAGAAATACACATAGATAGATAGAAAGGGAAACAGACAGAAAGATAAAACAGAAAGTCAGATAGACAAAAAGATAAAAAGACAAAGACAGCATGAGAGAAACACAGAAAGAGAAAAAGATTAAAAAGACAGAAACACAAAAAGAGAAAAAAGATTAAAAAGACAGAAACACAGAAAGAGAGAAAAAAGAAACAAATAGAACGACAGAGAAAGACAAAAGGACAGAATGAGAAAATAAGAGAAATAGAAAGAGGGAGAAAGAGAAAAAAGCCAGAAAGACAGAAAGGCACAATACAGAAAGACGAAGACAAATAAACAAAGACAAAAAAGACGAAAGACAAAGATAAAAAACGAAAGACAGAAAGACAAACTGACTTAAAGAAAAAATTAAAAAAAATACACAAAGAGGGAAAGCTCAAACGACAGAAAGAAAGAAAAAAGACAAATGACGGAAAGGCAAAAAGATAGAAAGACGAAAAAAGAGAGAAAAAGGTAAAAAGACACAGAAGTCAGGAAGGGAAAAAAGACAAAAAGGCAGAAAGCGAAAAGACAGAAAAGGAAAAAAAATCAAAAAGGAACAAAAACAGAAAGAGAAAAAGACAGAAAAAACAAAAGCAAAAAAAGTAAAAGAAAAAAAACAGTAAGACAAAAATTACAGAAAATAGAAAATGATAGGAACACTGAAAATAATAAAAGAAAGAAAGAAAAATATACAAATTACAGAAAGAGAAGAAGACAAAAAGACAGAACGACGAAAAGAGAGAAAGACAGAAAGAAAAATGGACAAATGGTAGAAAGAGAAAAAGACAAAAAAAAACAGAAAGAGAAAAAGATAGAAAAACCAAGAAAAAAGCCCAAAATCCCAAAACTAAAACCAGAAGTTCAAACGACAAAAAAGGGAAAAAACAGAATCACAAAAAGACAAAAAAAGACAAAAACCAAAAAAAAAAAAAACCAAAAAAAAAAAAAAAACCGGTGACATAAAAATGAAGAAAGTGAAGAAAATAGAAACACAAAGGCAAAAACAGAGAAAGGAAAAAATAAAGAGAAAGATAAATAGGCAGAAAGACTAATAGACAGAAAAACAAAATATAGAAAACATAATGACAGAACGCGATAAAAAGACAAAAGGACTGAAGAGACAAAAAACAGAGAAACAAAAAAACAAAAAGCCAAAAGACAAAGAAAAACCGATAGAAAGAGAAAAAGACAAATAGCAAAACGACAGAAGACAAAAAGACAAGAAGTGAAAAAAAAAAAAAAAAAAAAAAACAGAAAGTTAAAGACAAAAAGAAAGAGAGAATGACAGAAAGATAAGACAAAAAACAGAGAAAGACAAAAAGCAAAAAGGCAGAAAGAGAAAAAGACTGAAAGAGAAAAAGACATACAGACAAAAAAAAACAAAAAAAAAACAGCCAGAATCACAAATATACAGACAAAAAAAGTTAAGTTACAAACTGAAAAATAAAACAATAATTAAAAAAAGGTTCGAAGAAAAGATACACATTTGATATTTAATAATTATTAATGTTATTTAAAAAATTAGACTTAATTATTTTAAAGACCAATGATGTTTATTTCAACCGTTAATTCGAAAAAAAAGTAAAAAAAAAAAAAGCGAAGAAAATAATGAAATAAACGATGGATTGAAAATGAAAAAGATAAAGCAAAAACACAAAGAAAGGAAAACCTGAATGAAAATGTACGCAGATGTAAAATACAAAATGAATTCTGAGAAAACAAAATCAACCAAAAATTGAATAAGCTTGAAGAAATATTATTTTTCGTAAGATATACACATGTAGCGTCGTTTAAATGAATTATGATGAAAAACGAAATCGAAACGAAGGAGTAACAAAAACAGTAAATGATGATTGTCAGATGGCAAAAATAGTGAAAATAACATTCTAAAACTGAAGATACATTCCTTAGAAAGAATGAAACAGAAAAGGATGTAAAAAAAAATGTTTGGCGGAGCCGAAAGAAGCTGAACATTCCAAATCTAATAAAAATGAAATGTGAAAATTATCTGAAACGAAGAAAATTTTTAAAACAAATTAGATTTTTGCCTATAACGCAGAGTTTGAACCTATTCTCCAAAAGGAAAATAAACAAATATCGCAGAACAAAAATGAGACAAAAAAAAATTCATAAATTGAATAATACGGTAATAAACATGTAGTTGCAAATAAAATTAATTTTACAATCATTGCCACTTCATAAATATCCACTGGCATTGATGGCATTAAAAAAATTCAAATTAAATAGAGAAGCGATAGAAAGCAAGATAAACAAGTAAGATTGGCCTCTGTACAGCGCTATTTTTGTCATATATTTTCAATGTTTGATTTAACGGTTAAATATTTAATTATAATGATACACTAGAATGGACCCAGTGTAAAACATGGGAATTATGGTTGAATAAACTATAAATAATGTTAAATCTGATTTTATTTGCATCACAGAGCATAAAAAGGAAAACGAGAGGCCTACAGAAAAGGAAGAGAAGTTAAATATTTATTGAATAATTGAAACTTTGTTACTGGATCAGGGATGTCTTCGTAACGTAATGGTTATTTGCACGGGAATTGAAATCGAGGAGAACTGTTCAAATACTAACTTGGATCTTTCTCTAGCTCTGGATAAAATAGCAGACCAATCTAGGCTTTCTTGTAGCCACTCTTGGAGAAAAAGATCCTCTGTGTCGTGAAAGGAATTTTTACTCGTCTGAGTCCATACTTCAAATTTATAAGCCAACCATCCGTCCTTGCAAGGATTATTGCTGTTATATATGGTTTGTTGCTCTCTCAGTACGTCTGGAGGTCCTCGACAAAATCCAGAGAAAAATATGCAAGATGAAAAATCCTCATCTGGCATCTTGTCTAAAATCGCTATCCCATAGACGTGCCGTGTCATGCTTCTGTCCGTCCACAAGTATTTTCACGGCAACTGTTTTAACAAGCTACTTTTGCTGGTTCTCGGCCTGAATGAATTTAAGCGCGCTACAAGGCTGTTATCTCGGTCCTACCCTTTCACTGTAAAAATGGGTACATTTAACCGTCTCTTGTAATAAATGGCTCCTTTCCCTCAGTTGCCGTCTGTTGAACACTCTTACGCTTACTTACATCCCCGATGACTATATTTTTCAGATATTCATGTGTAATGTCAATCGATATCTGACACTTTGAGCTTGTTCGCCGTCTTTTTCTGTATAATTTCACCAAACACCCCTTTTTACTCTTGTTCTCAATCCTATGTGACCCCTTGCGTGGCACTCTCGTCTTGCTTGGCGTAATCTGACAGGATCTGACAGCTTAATTGATAATCTTAAGTAGAATTTAAGACTCGCTCGAGATTTACAAAGGAGCCCACATATGGAGTAAGTGTGAGGATTGTGGGATGGGATCACTGTTAGATTGGCAGACCATTTAGATCTTGCTCTCACTTCTTGAAGACGATTCAGCTAAGCAGATTGAAAACAGCTGAGTCCACTAAAACACGTTGATTTCTATTCTACGCGCTTTAAGACTAAGCGCTCAAGGGTGATATGTGGTATACTGAGAGCTGAAAATTTGCTCTTCAGCTTGTCGTTTTATCATATGCTCCTACATTCTTGTCGCGCTGATCTAACTGACTGTACATTAGTATCTTGGGTATACTATAATCAGACATTCTCAAGACATGACCAGGCCATCGAAACTGAGACTGTATTAGAAAAGTCTCGATTCCTCGAATAATGCACCTGTTAAACATGACTACATTAAATGTCCTGTCTTGAAGGATAACTCAACAAATAAACACACACACACACACACACACACACACACACACACACACACACACACACACACACACACACACACACACACACATATATATATATATATATATATATATATATATATATATATATAGTACATACATATTATCCGGGTGGATCCTAGTAATATTAATTAATCCACAACGAGCTCGATGTTTTTATTTTAACAGATCATATGTATTTTTCACAGCAAAACGAAACAATTTATGTTGAGGGTATTTTTTTGCTGTAATATAATTTTATAAACGGTAACATTCGACACACCTAAAAAGTCACATCTTTCAGATCTATGTAAATTTTTGTTGCTACCGCATATATATATATATATATATATATATATATATATATATATATATATATATATATATATATATATTGAGTGTGTCTGTGAATAAACAAAAGTAATAAAAAACAACAGGAAAATATACATATACCTTGCAAAAATCCATATTTTTAATTTGTATTTTTACATTATATATATATATATATATATATATATATATATATATATATATATATATATATATTCATGCACGTTTCATTAAATAATATAGACAAGTGCTGTCTATTTATTTTATGTAAATTTTTTTCGTAAAGTCTGATAAGTTTAATATGTTTATGTTGGTCACACCACAAACTCGCTTTCACGACGCTTGACAGTACATTAGAATGAAAACTCTAACATTTTTAGGCATTTAAAACAACATGCCTGCCCGCACACACAATTCCGTAAAATACTTGTCGAAAACACAATTATACTTCGACATGAAAACAATAGACAACAACTAAAAATCCTTGAAGCATTACACATCAAACAGTTGAAACCCAACCTAAACAAAATCAATTATGGCATCTTATTCTTAAATGTCTATAATTGGTAACAGAAGCCATTGGTTTATATCAAGGGCTTCCATACTTCATATTCTCCAATTCATTCTTGTGTGGTCATGTGTGACATCATTAGATGCGGTGCGATTTTCGCTTCTAGCGTCTTACATGTGCGTGTTTATCGTTGCTTAGAAATCATCTATGTAAACATTGACAGACTATCATCACTGTCTTGTCCGTATATTGCTTAATATGTTGTAATTGACATCTTTGATAATGGCTTATGTAAGGCGAAAGCTTAGATTGTATTAAAAAATATTGTGAATTTCTTTCTTCGTTCAACGATAATGTTATTAAACTTATCAGACGTTACAAAAAAATTTACATAAAATAAATAGGCAACAATTGTCTATATTATTTAATGAAACGTGCATGAATGAAAAGATCCTGCCTAAATACAAACACAAATATATATATATATATATATATATATATATATATATATATATATATATATATATATATATATATATATATATATTATAGATTAACTGACTTAAAATATGGTTTCTTCGCTACACAGGAATTAACATGTCTCAAAAACCCAAACTATAATCAATTATATATTTAAATTAAAAGCATTATTTCTGTTTCAACTTCAAGTGAATTTTGAAATAACTTATTTTTAAATTTACTAAGTTTTAAACGCACTTGCAATTCACAATTTTTTGTTTCCAAGGATACAGAGAAATCCAATCATTTAGACAGGGCTGATAGCGTGTTCATTTTCATTAACTGTTATTGTATCAATTATGAGTTATGTTCGAAAAGGAAGTTAAGTTTAAGGAGGGTAGGTGTGCATTTTTCAACGAATTTTGACATCCGTTCAACATATTTCGTCTGTTTTTTTTTTTTGATTTTGTGTTTTTTATTAACGAGAAAAAGGTTTTCAGCTGAAAAATGTTGAAAGATTTTGTACTTCTTTTACCAACATATATATATATATATATATATATATATATCTGCGTGTGTGTTTGTGTATGATTGTGCGTTAGAAAATTATAATTTATTGTTTTTCATTTATGGGTGTAAGTGATCATTATCAGGAACAAAGTGTAAATATAAGAGGGAACACTGAGGTTAACACCGAGTGGTGACAGTTAAAAAAAAAAAAAGATCCAAAAAAAAAATATATATATATATACTATGATGATATTATTTGGCCAGTGCGAACATTTCCAGCTTCAGCACTTTGAAAGGTACATTATGATCACATTGAGGACCAGAGTTCAGTTTGGTGTCATAAAAATGATTGATTGCAACATTAGCCAAATCAACACAGCGTCACGTTTCCTCCAAATACAACTCGTCTAAAATTTGCAAGAAAGTTCCATGTTACCTGAAACATCAGGTAGCCCCTCGATAACATTTGACTGAAATTCTACAGATTTTGATGTGAAAACGTTTCCAACAAAGAAATTAATCTGGTTTTCATCAGTAAAAAATTTCAACATCAAAGTCTTTTCGAAGAGATCGAATATAATAGTAGTAGGTTGGCGTAGGATCAGATGAATATGATAGAACAAAACAACTGTGGCAAATTTTATTATTACTATATGCAGCGTTGAATTGCCATGGAGAAAAAATACTTCCTTTAATATATTGTGTACGATGCCATGCAGAAAGTGTTATGTTAGTGTACTTATGTTAATGTATTTAATTTCACTGCCACATATGT